CCCCAAAACCCCAAAACCCCAAAACCCCAAAACCCCAAAACCCCAAAACCCCATTTAACTAAATTTACATTGGGAATAATAAATTTATTATATTATAAGAAGTAAGTATGGGGTATCTAAGTTGTTTGACAACTGTAAAAGACTCTGTTTGAGGGAAGATAAGCGGGAAAATGGGGCGCTCGTGAAGGGGGATATAGTTTTGTTGTTTTGGGCAAAAGTAAACCAAGGAGTGAGCTTTAGAGGGTTTGAAGTTGTTTTGAGGAGTTGGATTTGAATTTTTGGCCTAAATGGTGTGGTTTTGGTTGCCTAAGTCTCTCTTTTGGTTTGAAATTTAGCTGAAAAGCTTTGTTAATCTCTTTGTTTATATTCCTCTCTTCTTAGTTCTAAATCACCCTTCCCTATTTTCCTAAAAAATTGCGTATCTTTGAGATAACATTTTTAATCCCTTGCTTGAACTCCTCAATGGTGATTTTCCAGAGACAAAATTTCATTTGTTCCAATTTGAGCAAACTCGAAATTTTCGCCAGTGTTATCTCCAAAATGTTTCCTAAATTATATTTTAGAAGAAAAATGGAAAGAAATTTAGAAATTCACTTGAAGCCAGCAATAATCTGGCATTTACAAAACTTAGTCAAGAACTTGACGAATAAGATGATGAGCACTTCGTTGCCTGAGTTTGATAAGGTCCTCGAGCAAAGCCCTGATGGAGAGGAATACCGCACACATTTAGTGAGGATCTTGCTGAAAGAGATCGACTTCCAAGGCAACCGACAGAAGGAATCGGTTAAGATCAATCTCCTCAAGCCCAATCTACAGAAAATCATGGAAAGCCCTTACTTTTTGTCTCACTATGTCTTTGAGATCTTCTTGGATGTGAAGGACATAGCTGATTTTTATGGAGATATCCTCAGGCACCTAAAACTCAAGGTCTCTGAACAACTGATCTTCTGACTAGGAATTTATATTTTCTCAGTAAGCTCCCAAATTCTAACAATTTAGATGAACTCTAAGGATGCCAAAAGTATTAAGATCCTCAAACAGAAGTTGAAGGAATGGTTCGAATTTGAGAAAGATGGAGAACTTCCCTCCTATGCGGTGTACCAGATCCTAAACGCCATTAAGTCAGAGCCTGAGCTAAGCGAAGACACTACCTTTAGTATGAACATTAGAGAGTTCTTAGTTCAACAAAATGTGAAATCTATGAAGGAAGAATCAATGAATGCTCAGAAACTCTCCTCTATTTTTGAATGTAACCGGACGAATTCTTTGTACAAATACGAAAACGAGACTAAAAACAACACTGAGTTTAAATTTGTGGAGAAATGATCCAACACACACCAAGTGCTGGAGCCATGGCAAGTGCTGATCGACCTCGGTCCCTCTATTAGTAACTATGAGTCTGCTCTTTTGTTCGACGTTCTGAAAGACTTTAGTAAAACTTCTCTGAGAGGACTTGCCCACACTTTGATTGCTTTGAGTAATCACTTCACTGCAAATGACAGAGAGAAAAATTTGGAAACAATTACTATGAAGTGAAACATGAAGGGAGACATGACTTATATGAATGAAAATCCAGCTGAATATGAGATAGCAGAGCAACAGTGGAATCTTGATGAGCTCTCTAAAGCCTTCAAGGAGGTCTACCAAAACGCTACTTGGATCGAACTCATTAAATTTTTGGATGTTGACACTGATGCTAGAGAAGAATTTTATTTCCAATCTCAGAACTCTTTCGATGTCTTCATGAAGATTTGGAATTCATTAAAGCCTCCCAGCAAGAGTTTCCCTGTTGAGTTTTTGATTGCCAACTCATGGAAGAATAAGAGAGCTCAAGTTACTTGTCTAGAGTATGCTATAAATTACTCTTACCAAAATGCCGATATTCCTTTCGAAAAGGCAAAGAGAAGGCAGGATCATAACAAGCAACTTCAAGGAATCAAGCCTTCTGTCGCAACATTCTCTCGAATATGGAACTGCATCGATCTTGTTCAGACCTTGGTAAACCTCTCTGATTCAAACTATTTCAACAGAGTGAAGAATATCTTTGAGCCAGCCTTGAAATCGAATCCTGAGTATCTCCTGCTGACTTTGATTAAGATCAAGACTAAGAATGGAAGGTTCTTATTAGAGGATATGTACTCACAGTTGTTGCCAATATTCCTGACTGGTCACCCCAACTCTATTCCAATCCTAAACGAGGTGTGGAGCGCAGACAAGAATATAGTGATTAATTCTATATCATCTCTATACTCTAAAAATCAAAAGAGTATGAATCTCTCTCGCGTGTTGGATATCTGCCAGTCTATCAAGAACTCTCTGCTGCAAATTCTTGAGACCTGCAAGGATTATAATTTCACTATCCAGTTAGCCCTACTGGCTGCCAAGAGAGACTTCCTGCATTTCGAGCGTAGCATAGAGAAGATGATCCAGGCTGAGGGAGACCCCTTATTCCATGCTTTGTTCAAGTACATATACGCAAACCTGATCATTCCTATTGAGAACTCCAATGCTGATTTGAAGAAAAGGGAGGAAATCGTCGAAAGATCTCTTCTTTCAGAAGGTAAGCATCTCCATCATAACTCTATAGAACGGTTACAGATCATTGTGGATAAGTTGATCAAGTTCAAGGACCAGAATCCAGACCAGGTAGACTTCATTACTCGCAAGAAGTTCGAGGAAATTTATATGAGATTGGTCAAGATCTTCTCCAACATCCAGACTGAAGAGCACCCAAATAATGAGTTGATAGAGGAGAAGGGGAATGAGTACTTCCAACAACTTTATAAAGGTCAGAAGTCTGTTGAAGACCTTGTCAAAATAATGAAGGACTTCAGGTCCTCCTCTAACTCTACAGAGAGAGAAATCTACGCCTGTATGGTTCAGAACTTGTTTGACGAGTGGAAGTTCTTCCCAAAATATCCTAAGAAGGAACTTGAGATGACAGCCAAGCTCTTTGGAAAGATCATGAGTGAGAGGAAGATCATTGATGGTGTAGTCACTGATATTGGTCTCAAATGTATCGTGGAGGGTCTCAAAAGAGAAGGCAAAATGTTCCTGTTTTCTATAACTGCGTTAGAAGAGTGTAAGAACTCAGTTGAACATGAAAATGGGTTGAAAAACATCCTTTCTTGTCAGCAACTTCAAGAGAAGAAACCTGATCTCTACCAGCATATTTTGAGAAGATACCATCAACTGCATTCGAACACAGAGCCTCAAAAGCCACAAAGCACTGAGAACAAGCCAATGAAGCCTCAGAATACCATGGGAGATATGAATCGTCTAAATCAGCCAATGAAACGAGAGAATATCCCTGCTTCGAACACTCCTGATCAGAGACCTCCAATGGAAAGTGGCTTTAATCCAAACTTGCAGAGACAGAATAAGCCGAAGAATCCTAACACAATGGCTAGCACTCCTACTCAGCCTGGGAAGTATTTCACGCCAGATCAGAATGTGATGGGTGGATGGAAACCTCAAGGCCAGATGGGTGCAAACAGGAATCTCTACCCTCCCGGAAATATTCCTCCAAGCATGTCTACTCGTTTGCCACAGGATAACTTCTCATTAGGTCCCTCAGCTGATAGCTCAACTGCTGATAAGAGAAGTCTGAACCCTTTGAGTAGAAAATTCATGCCAAAGACACAGCAGGTACAAGAATACTTGAAGAAAGATGAAATGAAGCTTCCTTCTGAATTCATGGATAACCTCATCACTATTCTGAACATGACCGGAACAGACCAGATCTATGGCAAAGCTCAGGAACTAGAAAGCCAAATGAAGGATGAATACGTTGAAAAAATGGCTCACTTCACTGTTGTTAAAAGAGTCACCGACGCTGATGAGAAGAGAATTCAATTCTATTCAGACTTCTTTTACTCTATGAAGAACAGAAATATTGTTAATTCTTTGATCAAAGAGTGTATCCAAGTTATCCTAAGGATCATTACCACTGAGATAGCAGAGATTAGCAATAGAAATGAGATTAGCAGAGCTGCCTCTAACCCTGTCAAGAACGTCTCCTTGTTCCTGGGGTACCTAACCATCAGACATGAGAGAGCTCTTCTTCTAACAGAATTAGATCTCAAGCAACTCTTGATAGAAGCTGAGACAAAGAGATGAATGGTCAGCGCCATGATTGTTGTCTGTAAGATCTTGAGAGTAGGAGAAGCTTCAGATTTCAGAGGAGTTTTCAATCGTTATAATCCTTGGATGCAAGGTCTCTACTCCCTCCTTGTTGAATATAAGAAGAACTTCTGTCAGTTGAGTAAAGAATCAGACAAGATCATCTACAATGAAATCCAACTTGTATTAAAGAACACTCAATTGAATGAAAACCAGATCAGAGAGTCGACTCTCTTCAGAGACTTGTCTAACAAAGAAACAAGAAACAATGAACTAAATCACATTTTGAGGAAGATAGCCAATTCTCCTTATATTGTTGTCCCAGAAATCTCTGAAGAAGATGCACAGGAAGGAGAATACTGAAAAGAAGAGGTAAGCTTTCTATTGATAATAATCTAGGATCTCCAGAATATGCCAGATGATTTTAATTCAGAGAGAGTTAACATTGACGAGACTAGCGAAAAGTTCCCAAATATTGATCCAAAAATCCTAAAATCTCTCGTTATCAGAGGAATAAATTATGCGATGAAAGAGATCATTGACGCTGTTATTAGAAGAGTCATCCCTATAGCCTCAATCACCACGAGATCTCTTGTCTTAAAAGACTTCGCATTGGAGACAGACCCATCTAAACTGAAATCTGCTGCTGAGATTACTTCGAAATCTCTGGCAGGAATGCTTGCTTTGATCACTTGAAAAGATATCTTGAAGTATCAGTTCATGAAGAGTTTGAAAGATCTGGTCTATTCCTCTCAGAACCAACAAGTTCGAAGCCTTGATGACCAAGGAAAGAAGGAACTCATTGAGCTCCTCTCTAAGGAAAACTCTGAAATCGGCTGTAAACAGATCATTGATGAAGTCAAAAAGCAAGCTCTGAGCAATATTGAGAAAGATGATTCTATCAACCAAGAGATTGCTAATCGACAGAAGTACCAACATGATGGAATCGAATTTAGAGATTTGAGTGTTTTGCACCAATATAATAGACTTCCAGAAATTCTCCGGCCTCAAGAAGCTGGCCTGACTGATCCTGAATACCAAGTCTATCAAGATTATGATGGTATTGAAGACATGATCGAATCCGTTCTCGAAGATCCTGATGAGATATTTAAGGCTCCTGAGGAAGAGAATCCATACTCTGGGCAGATGAATCAAGCCCAAAAATCAACAATTGATCGAGTATTCCACCTTTGTAAGCTCTTCCTGAATAAGGGTAACGTCCGAGATTATGAGGCTACTCTCAGAAATGAGATTGAGCAGATTAGGGCCTACATCCAGAGCGATAATGCTATTGAAGACCTCATCTCAGAAAATATTCTTGCAGTAGAAAATATTTCTTTTAACCCTAATCTACTTATCTTCTTGATCGAGTCTAAGGTTGTCTCACTGAGCTCATGGGAGAAGAGATTTGCATTTTTCATAAATGGAACCCCGATGAACTTCAGTAAGCCCAGTATTATAGAATTCATGGAAATGTTCATCATCAGAGGAATCTTAGAAAAGAAGTTGTTCACCAATGAGGACATTCCAGAACTGTATTCCATTATTGAATCATACTCGAGTTCTCAAAACAACGTGGCTTCGACAAAATGGAACTGAATCAAGATTTTAGCTAAAGGAGACAGCATCGTATCAAATTCTGAAGTAAGATTATTTATTAACGTTCAGGATGTAGCCGAGCTCTGAAAATACTACTTTGACCAGTGGTGAAACTCAGTAGACAAGCCAAGGCTTTTGCCAATGTTCAATCATAAAATTGGCAATGTGTTTAAGAACTCCCAGGATATGAAGATGTTCATCAAGCATTGCCTCATATCAGCTGTAGAAAGAGACGAAGACCAGTCTGGAGTTCTCTATTCTTACTCTAAGTTAGACAACTTCGTTCAGCTTATCATCGGATGTAGTTTTAACTGGATCAGAAATCCCTCAGGATTCACCTTGAAGAATGTTATTGAGGATGGTGAAGTACTTGAGATAATTTCACACCCTGACTTGCTCGAAAATAGTAGCTCCCAACAGACGTATACATTTGATCAGATTCCTTTTAAGAGGATCTTATCTGCTTTCACTAACCATTTCTTCACCCTATTCCATGAAGAAGAGAAGGACAATCTAGAGAAGATGCAGAAAAAGAACCAAATTTTGGAGATGTTCTCTAATGTTTTCAAGGAGATGAACCCTTCCAGATATCCAGGATTTGCCTTCGCCTGGGTTGAACTGATTTCTTCTCCAGCTTTCATGCCAATGATGCTGACTGGTAAAAATGAGCACAACCTACACGAGAGATGGTTTAAAATGCATGAGTTGTTTAACAAATTATTCGGGTTTTTGAAGGAGAACATCTACGAAAATTGCTCAACAACACCAGCACTAGAGAAATTATTTGAAGGAACTCTGAAGCTATGTCTAGTTGTACTCCATGATTATCCAGAGTTCTTATGCTATTACTACTTTGAATTTATCAATCACCTACCTCTCTACCAGACAGTGAATTTGAGGAACATGATTTTAGCTGCTTATCCAAAGGAAATGAGATTGCCTGATCCAATAAACATTAATATTGAGTCCTTCCCAGAGAGTACGAGCATTTACACAAAAGATAGGCAAAGTCACTTACAGAATTATATCCCAGACTCAGAATACTACGCTTATAAGGCTGATTTAGACAAATATTTAGGTAAGTTTTTTGCATTTATCCTCTAGCAAACCCTGAAGATGAGACTTTACTTTCTATCTGTAAGAGGATCGAGCAAAACCAGAAGGTCAAGGAGTACAGGAGAATTATCAACACTGGGCTGGTCCACTCAACCATTTTGTACCTCACTTATGATATTGAGGAGATCAAGACAGTAGAAAAGTTAGAGAACCCGAAATTATCCCAGAAGTTTATCTTCATGTGCAGAAATCTGTCCACTCCTGTCAGAGATATTCTCCTGAACTGTATGTTTGACGAGCTTAGACTGCTGAACAAGTCAACTGTATTCTTTATGAATGCTCTTCTACAAGTGTTCAAAGCTAAAGGAGAGCACGATAAAATTATCCGCTCTCAAATCTGTAGAATTTTGTCTGATAGAGGTCTCAAAATCAACAAGCAGCAGCTTGAAAGGCAAAAATCCCAGAGAATTCAGCCATGGGGACTGCTAGCATTCACAGCCCGTATAACCAATGAGGAGGAGTTTAAAAACATCGCCAACAACTAAAAGGCAGATGCATGATTATTAAATATTTCAAATAATTATATTAATCATTTTTATAATTTCTAAACAGTGATTCCACCTTGGGGTTTTGGGGTTTTGGGGTTTTGGGGTTTTGGGG